ACTACTTAATAAATAATAAGATGAGTATAAGTCTACATTACTATAATTAGAATTGACCAAGTCCCTGTACAGGATCTTTGGCTAAATTTTGCCGAGAATGTCAAGGAAAGAAATTTCAATTCTTATAATTTTTCCTGATGCATATACATGTACTTATATTGTATAGAAAGTTTGAACATATTCCAATCAAAATTTGATTTTTTATGAATTTTAAAAGTTGCCAAAAATCTGGCCAAAGTCCCTGTACAGGATACTTGACCAAATTTGTCAAAAATGTCAAGGAGAGAAATTTTCAATTTTTATAATTTTTTCTAATACATATAAATGTATTTATGTTGCGTAGAAAGTTTGAGTTAATTTTTTATAAATTTTTAAAGTTGCAGTCAAAGTCCCTACAGGGACTTAGGCCAAATTTCGTCAGAAAGGGTAAAGAGAAAATTCTCCATTTTTCCTTTATTTTCTGATGCATATACTTGTACTCATATTGTGTATAAATTTTGAGCAGAGTTTGATCAAAATTGAATTTGTTATGAATTCTAAAAGTTGCTCCAGAAGCCATATGGAAACCCTGGAATATTGAATATGTAAAATATACAAGTAAGTCAATTTTGATACTACAACTACAACTATACAACTACAATATGACATTGAGGTATTAATATACAGTACTCAACTCAAAATAATATTATAACAACAGTAATAGTGCATTATCATTTTACCTAGTCCCTTCATAGCATTGTACAGTGTAGTAGCATCATTTTCAGCATTGAAACTCTGACTGGGCTTCACTGTACCATGAGTAGCAGGTACTGGCTATATCGAGAATAATAAGTAGTTTCAGTTTCAATAAAGAGTGTACATTATACATGTATCTACATGTATAATGTACATGCACATAATCATTAGCTACTATAAAAAATAATGCAAAAATTGGCCAGTATTAAATAAAATAAATGTCGTATAAAACATTCACATAGGTAAGTGCACAACTTAATGAGGGTTACCTTACTGACAAAAAAAATAAATGTCGTATAAAACATTCACATAGGTAAGTGCACAACTTAATGAGGGTTACCTTACTGACAGACATTGCTGCCATTTGTCTCTGTGTCTGTTCAACTGATACCCTCCTTGTATCATCACTAGGGACTGGAGTGGCTTGTGGCTACAGAAAAATAGTCATCATACATGCAATAGAGGACACTGTACAATCTTGTATTATTAATCACTGCATTATAATATAATTTTACTATTACTATTATTCCATTATTACAGCAAAATTTTGAAGCATCTTTTTCAAATTCAATTTTGATTTGAATCAAATAAAATTTACATGTAAAAAAATGTACACATGTATAAAATAAGAAATATTCTCTCAGAGCCGTTTCTATACTATAGTATAAAAATTTTGATCAAATTTTTGAGTACATTTTAAAATTCATAAATGAGCTCAACATAACAAACAAATAAATTGGAGAATTCTTTCCTATCCTTTTTCAATGAAATACCATGCACTATTGCACCATTACACCATGCACTATAATGCTATTACAGATATTGAATATGTCTTACATATGATCCAGGGGGAGCACTGGTCGGATAACCACCTCCTGATGGACCTACCACAATAAAAAAGGACAGTTTAAATCATCTCTTTCCAAAGTATTTGGACACTTAGCAGTAATAGAAAGTTTACTTACAGAACAGTTATAACTGACTTACAGAACAGTTATCAATGATAAACTGTTATATGTACCTGTTGGATAAGAGCCAGGTTGAGGAGGGCCAGGGGGATAATTTGATGAAGGGCCTGAAGGATAATTAGGCATTGGGCCAGGGGGATAATTTGACGGTGGGCCCGGGGGATAATTTGATGATGGGCCTGGGGGATAATTTGATGGTGGGCCTGGAGGATAGTTTGGTGTTGGACCTGGGGGATAAGTTGGGCCCGAGGGAAAATTTGATGGTGGGCCTGGAGGATAACTCGTTGTTGATGGTGGTCCTGGGGGATAAGATGGATCGGGTGGGTAGCTGGATGAAGGGGGAGGTGGATAAGATGGAGTAGGACCTCCAGGTGGGTAACCAGCTGGTGATGAAAAAGGGTCTGGAGGAGGTGGATAGCCTGGCATAGGAGGACCTGTACAGAATTAAAGGGAGAGAGTAATTAGTAATGATAAGTATAATAATAATAAAAATAATAATAATAATAATAATAATACCTGATTGAGGAGGATATCCAGGAGGATTGCTACTACCAGGCATTGGCATACCTCCTCCTACCCAAGGTCCCTGTATATATTAATGGTAAAAAGCAGCAGAGACTTAATGAGGCACAAATTAGTCTACATTTACTTACAGAGGATTGAGGATAGCCTCCTGTTGGTGGGTAGGGTGCACCACCACCAGGATATGGTGGATAGGACATGGTATCTACTATGATGGTACAGGTCGAAGTATAGATACCAGTGATTTGAGCTCGAGTTTGAGTCGAGGTTGATGAGTCGACCAAATCATGCAAATTAAAAATTCAGCAAAGCCACGCCCATAAATTTTGAGTTACGTAATCTATGATTATGGGAATTATCATGTGGGAATATGGGTCATTAGCTGGGCGTCGACGCGGCCGGGCATATGGGCATCAGATGCAGATCATATGATCAGACAGAAAAATATTAGCTGAGTCCGGCATGTTGTTTACTTGAGTTGTTGATTTTTATCAGGGATATAAAAGACTAACATATGATATCCAAACCTGACATGATATCTCTAGATGATCTAAATCCACACAGCTGAGGAGCTATGACAAAGCCCGCTGAGGAAATTGAAAAGCTTTGCATTGATGCTTTCAACAATAAAGACAAGAAACAAGCACTGATCTATCTCGAGCAATGCTCCGAACCATCTAAAATAGTGACAAATTTTTTCCGCCGCACAGCTGATTGCGTGGGACCTAGAGACATTCTCACTATTTCAAACGTTTCTCTCCTTCACATTGCAGCTAAAAACAACTGGCCAGATGTTACCTCAACACTCATCACCGAGTACCACTGTAATCCGGAAGCAATAAATAACCGCAAAAGCACTCCACTGCACTATGCTGCTCGCTATGGAAGCATGGAAACCCTTAAATGTCTTATCACCAAGCATAACTGTAACCCGATGTCTTTAACAAGGAACAAATGGACTGCCTTACATTGGGCAGCATCTACTGGACAAGTAAATGCATTACGTTACCTTATTGAGGATTGCAATTGTGATCCCTCTCTGTGTGATACCAAAGGACACAACCTCCTTCACTTGGCTTGTGCCGGTAATCACATTGAAGCTGCAAGGTACCTCTTACAGACAGGACTAATAGACCCGGCCTTTACCTGCATATGGGATTGTCGGCCCAGTGAGTGGGGTCAAAGTACATCAAATGGTAACACTGAGACAATTGAACTATTAAAGTATTACGAAGAATGTCGAATGAATTCACCCATTGATACATACACTCAAGTTTTTGTGCTTGGGAACAAAGGTGCCGGAAAGAGTACATTAGTAAAAGTGCTTAAGATTCGCTCTGAGGCTAATTACGATAGTTACCCTTCTGTCTCTGAAGATGGCAATGTGACTAATGTTATGTTAAACACCATAGGAATAGTTCCAGAAAATATTACAAGCTCAGAGATTGGAAACATGACTGTTTATGATCTTTCAGGTGATGCTGAGTATCACTTCTCACACTCTATGATAATGAAAACTGCTACTAAAGCTGGTCTAGCACTATTTATACTTGTAGTTGATATTAGTCAACATATCCAAGCTGTTAAAAAACAAATCTACTACTGGTTCAACTACCTTTGCACTATGTGTGGCACTGAGATTTTGAATGTTTTGATAGCTGGCAGTCATCGAGATGTACTTAGAGATAATGATGATGACAAAGCAAGTGCTATTGAAGCGTTAATCTCAAAGGAATATCCTCAAAGTAAAGCAACTTTTATACCAATGGATTGTCGCAAAGTACATTCAACAGAAATCATCAAGATATCTCAAAAATTACTACTCAATTCTTTGCCGTCAATTCAAAAATCAGTTAATGCAAATTACAACTGTCACGCTCTTTATTCATTCCTCAAATCAATTCAAAAGTGTTACTGTACTCTTGGTCAATTATCAACAATGATAGGTACGAGTGACAAATTTTTGCCACACGATGAAAATGATTTGGCAGAGCTCCTTGCTAAGCTATCAGTGAAAGGGCTCATTCTTTTCCTCAAAAAAGAGTCCAACCTCTGTGATAGTTGGGTAATAATAAACATCAAGCATTTCCTGAATGAAGTCAATGGATTACTGTTTAGCCCCAAACATGATCTATCCTCAATCAGCAATATTGGCCTAGTTCCAGTAAGCTGGATCAAATCAACATTTCCAGAACATTCTCCTCTCATGCTGTCCGACATATTGCATACGCTTGAAGTGTGCCAAGTAATTGACAACAATAATGCTGATGCCTCCATTTCAGACAAATGCTTGTTTTTTCCTTCTTTTGTTCCTCCGGGTCGTCCTAATTCTTTACCACCTCACAATGAGTTTGGCTTTGTGTGGCATTTGGAATGCATTCATTATTCTCAATTCTTCCCCACTCAGTTTTGTCACATGCTCATCCTTAGACTGGCACTTAAATTTCCTCTGAAAAGTATCAAAAGTTGCTCATCTCCCGTTTCACTTCAAGCCGTCTCAAGAAGGTGTCAAATGTGGAAATTTGGAATACATTGGAAGACGGATGATTATGTGGAAATTTTAGTTGAATTGTCTGAAGATATGCAAGATGTCAGAGTCAAAATTAAATGGAATGAAGACTCTCCACAGTCTATTAAAGCAATGATGAAGCTAAGAAGCTCAATTATAAAGACAATCTTCTGTCTTCACCAAGAGTATTGCTCATCTCTAGAAGTAGGTGAATTCCTAGAGGCACCTCATGCTTCATGGGATTCTGCGAATCATCATCAGTTTGCAATGCAAGACATCGTACGTTCTATTTGTTTGAAAAAGGAAGGAGTACTTTCTAGTGACACCATGGGGAGCAAAGTAGAACGGCTTGACAAGATATTACTTCATGAGCCCTTAGTCAACCTTCCTCAAAGCATCCTTTTAAAAATTTTTCTTTGCTGCAACACTGACTTGTTAATAGAACCAGATCTTTTGAAGCAGCTTAATCAGAGTTTAATGCCTCATATTGCCTTTACTCGTCAACAGACATTCAGTACAGTACAATCGCATATTGAAAAACATTCCTTGTTTTGCGAAAGAACTATTGTACAAACGGTAATATAAAATAATAGCTATGGTATTTTACCAAGAGTACTGAACTTGCTTTCACAGGTACTAGAAGAGCACAAAGAAGAAATTAAACTGAATATTGAAGAAGAGCAACTCTTACTTGGTAATATATACTCTGTTGCTCATATCTTTCATTATTTTATTAGATTCGCCTATTAAGATTTCTGGAATAACATACGATCCAGATGATCTACCAAATGGCCCACTAGGTACAGTGCACAATATTATGCATCTACTGATCTACTGTAATAAATTTTTTTGCATAGATTCATCACACTTTCTTATCATTGTAAAGTTCTTAAAGAATTTGAATGATTGGTTTGAATTGGGTATTCGTCTTGACCTAAAACATGCATCCCTCTTAAAAATTGAGAATGACTTTCGACGCCAAGAGAGATGCAAAATTGAGATGATCCAGCTATGGCTTGATGGTAGTGATGCTAGTAAATCATCTTTGATGGAAGCACTAAAAGATCTTGCTTAACTTTAATATAATGAATGGGTATGATGAGAGGGAACAGCAATGTTTGCATGTGTTCATTATAGTTTTGAAAAATTAATGCAATAAAATTATAACAACAAAATTAAAAATATTATAGACATAGCTATAACAAGTGTACATCCAATCACACAAACATAGATACAAGCATATCTCTGTAACATACCAACAATGATAACAATCAAATTATAAGCAATTCTATTCAATTATTTAGAAAAGCTTGTACAGCATCCCACATCATAGTAACTTGTTCCTTAGAACTGTTAGTATTGCTATTATAGTCCAGAGTATCTGTGTTCCAGAAGGCAATCCCTCTTAGTTTCTTTTCTGCAGCATAGCTATACTTGACAGTTAGACTCTGTGGATTATCAAACCAAACCTGATGATAGTCACCATTCTCTAGCCTATACGTAAAAAATGGAGACTCAGCTGTCTTGTTGTACAAGAGTCCAGTGGGAGATAGTGGATAAAAATCATGCATAATTCCTGAATACCCATACTGCCTCCCTGCACCATCACTGCAGTTGACTCCACGGAATGTGTAATTTGGTATAACGCAAGGAGACTTCTCATCAATGATTTTCTTGCATGGATAATCATAGCCATACCACGGGAGACCAAGTACCAGTTTATTATTAGGAATGCCTACTTTATTGTACAGGTCCACTCCTTGTTTAGTTTTAACGAAGTCAGAGTTTGCTCCTGCTAAACAAAGGCCAGGATCGAATACTTGACTTCTCTCATCATACGCCATGATGACCAGAAAATCTGTCCATTTAGAGAGCTCAAGGTAGTCATAGCAGCGTCCATCAATGCAGCTGGGCGACCAGGCTACATCAAGCGAAATCTGATAGCTTGAGGATGCAGCTTTGAAACGTGTGTATATCTCCTCAGTGACGGCATTCAACGTTAGTTCCTCTTCAGACCCACTGGCAACAGGGTCTTCGGCATCAATATTAATACCATCTAAATGCTGTGACTGGACTGTATCCAGTAGGTTAGTGACGTAGGATTCACGACTAGCTTTACTCGATAATTTCAATATCTCTGATCCAATGTGAGAGACTACACGAACCTTATGAGCATGTGCATGACAGACAAGATCGTTGAGCATGGACTCGTTGAGATCAGTGAATATGGCTATAGTGGTGAGCTCTGTCCAATTGTAATAGGGCCAGTTTTCAGACCTGATCATGAATCCTAGGACCTCCTTTTCAGGGACCTCTTCGACTGGTTGGCAGAGGCTAGCATCTTTACAGGGACAAACTTTACACTGTGAACAGGAGATCAGTAGCTTTATTATGAGGAATAATAGCGATATTCTCCTCATTTTCAGAAAGAAATCAGCAATCAGCAGGTCAGCTCATATAGCTCAGCAGATGGGTGACACACCTTTTGGAGGCGTGTGTAAATACACCCACGTCATTATTTTCTGTGACGTCATAAAATAATAAGCAGCAAGCGTCCCGCCCATTCTCCTTAAAAACTGTCGAGGTCCAATCTTCACTGATTTTTAGCTAAGTTGAGCTATTGTGAGTTATGGAATGGAGTGCTAGTCTCTCGAAGAGCTGTAAATATGAGAAAAGAGTAATTAGGTGCCTGAGGTACCTGCTAGTAGGCGTCAATTCAGCTATCACCGTGAGTTATAATACTCCCAAGTACTAGATCTAAAACTTATATGTATATATATATATGTATACTTTTTATTTAAAATCATAAATGCCACTTGTCAATGATGCACTTTGATGTATTTATATAAATTGTTTGTACTGCTGTTTAGATTGGTATTATACACATGTATATACATTTATGTATTCTAGTTGGACAAACAATTAAATTGTGTTTTGTTTGTGTTGCATGTACATTATCCTATACAGGAGGTATACAGGTGTCCCTGTATATGTACACTAGATCTACCACGTGTTATATGCTCTCGTTCAAAAACAAACGACACCTTCTGACAAAGACAACCGTCATTATATTTCTTAAGCAAATTAGCACCTAATGATAATTGCCATTGCACACATACCCACTATTATCAGTAATGTTAGTTTTCAAGCCATTTCTGGATTCATACCTAGTATGGTATCTACTTGCTAATTCTCACGTCTTAAAATTGAATTAACTTTCACAATCCATTGGTTAACTGTGGATTTGTTTTTAGATATTTGGTTGCTGTGTCATCATAGCTGGTGTATGGGGAAAGGTTTGTAATCACCTCTTGTTATAATTCATAATTGTTGTGTACCTCTATTCTTAGCTTCGTGGAGATAACTTTGACGATGTTACTGATGACGATCAGCCTTACACCCAGATACCAGTAATGGCTATTGTTGTGGGTATCTTTGTGTCCTTGTTTGGTCTAGTGGGGGTCATTGGTGCTATCCTTGCCAACCACGTTGGAGGACGCATTGTACTGGGACTGGTAAGCATCATTGTTCATGCATCAGTTTTCATTATAGTGCATGACAATTGTTACAAAACTTACAATAATACTGTGAGTTGATGGATAAAACTTTAAAAGGAGTAATTATCAGGAACTGTTAACATAGCTTACGAATGCACTTTCTTTCCTGATCAGCTTCAGAGTCCTATTTGTAGCCATGACTTTAAATTTACTATATGTGGAGTTCATGATTATGCAGTTTTGTATGTGTGTATGCTTAGTATTCATGTATTAAAAAGATCCATTTTATAGTAGGGGATATTAACACAATTGGCACATTTACTGGAATATCAAAATAGCATTTTTGTAGTAACAATTTAGCAGCCATGTGTCATTGAGTATACCTTAAGGAGACAATTGTTTGCGGGTATTTAATTTAGCGAATTTTAGCGATTTTTTAAAAATCGCTAACTTAAGTCCGTGCTAATTTTAATTTCTTCATTGAAAGTGGGTGTGGTCACAATGAATAAAATGGCGGCCGTCAGCAAGTCGAGGCTGAGCTTTTTTGCAGCAAATGGTCAGCAAGATAATACTAAACTACTGTCCAGAGACTTCTCTAGCAGTTAACAAAGCAGATGACAGTCTTCTTTGTTCAGTGACTGCTTCTAACTGTAAGCAAGATAACTTTACGTGTTAATGGCTGCAGAGTTATGATGAAGAGATTAATGCAACAAGATCTACTGTATTTAGACTTGTGCAATTGCTTTGCTTGCTCATACATGTAGATCACAGCACATAATCTGTAGCTTGCTTAGGCTTGCCCCTTTCATTCTTCTAAAAGTTATTAATACCAAATGATCAAAAACGCTAAATTAAGTACCAGCCAAATGTCAGTTTCATGAAAATCGCTAAAATAAGTACACGCTAATAATTGTCTCCTTAAGGTATTCAGATTGTTTAGATTTTGGGTATTCTATATTGGCAATTTCTTTGAATGCCAATTTCCAAAGTTTTGATTAGAGCATTATTGTTACATTGATAAGTATAAGATGGAGCTGATAATAATTATTATTTCATTTCTTGTAGTATGGATTTGTGCTGGCACTGGTAGCTATGATTGAAGTTGCAGCTGTTGTTACAGCCATAGTTCAAAATGATCAAGTGAATTAATTTTGTAAAATTTCATCTATATTATTCTTCAATGGTAGCTTGATGAGAATATCAAGACAAGTATGACTGAAACATTCTTACAATATAATGATAGTTCAAGTGTTAGGAAGACATGGGATACTGTTCAAAGAAGAGTAAGTTAATACTCAGGGTTCCCCATTTAGGGTTTCATTGGATTGCAATACCCTGTACTATAGTATAGGTTATTTTGACATAAATTGCAAGGAGAAAATTTGCCATGTTTATAATTTTTAAAAAATACATAATACATGTTCTTATGTTGGGTAAAAAATTTGAGCTGATTAAAAAAATTTTTAATAAATTTTTAAGTTACTCAAAAAGCAGCTAGGCCAGGAGAGAATTATTTATGATTTTTTTATGCATATACATGTACATGTACATGTACTTCTGTTGTGTATATGTACATGTAGCTTGTTCCAATCAATTTTTTTTAATTTTTAACAATTAGTCAAAAATCAGACCACACCAAATTTTGCCCAAAAATGAAACATATAAATTTCTACATTTTTATAATTTTTCCTGATGCATATACACGTGCTTATGTTATGTAGAAAGTTCAAGCTGATTTTGATCAAAATTAGATTTTTTAATGAATTTTAAAAGTTGCTCCAAGTGCCATGTATTATAGCGCTTGCAGTGTCAGTACGCTTCGTGGGAAACTCTGCATGTACTATTAGAGTTTTTAGAAGACGACATACATGTACATGTACATGCTTATTATGTGCATAATGAAAATGATACCTTTTGTAGTTTAAATGTTGTGGCACATACAACTACTCATCATACGAAGACCTGCTGGATATTGATCCACCTACCTCATGTTGTATTAGTGAAAAGAACTGTAATACATTGACTGGAACTGATGAAGACTTATTTCAAAAGGTCAGTAGTTTATTATACGTTATTGCTATTATTAGTGTATTGTAATATTATGTTAGGGTTGTGTTGAGAAGGTGGAGAATAACCTTGCTATCATCTTAGGCATAATGGCCGGAATAGTTGGATTTGCTATTTTATTACAGGTAAAACAAAGAAAGAAATGCATTAAGCCAATTTGTTGGCACCTCCTTTTACAATTTGGCACTTACAAATATAGTTTTGTCTACAAAAATGATTAGACTTGTCACTAAAATAGTCTAAGCTTTAAAACTGTTGTTCACTCCTGTTTTATTTTATGTTAGATTTCGGGTGTTGTGATATCATGCTATGTTGCTGTTCGTGGCTCCGTGAAAAGAAACAACTATGAACTTATTTAAAGCACACTCCGTGTATATAAGCCACCAAGCACCATGTCCATTATAACTATGCCATATTGAAATCATCACTATTATTATTATTATTATTATTTAACATTATGAGATTTGAAGTTATACTCTATTATCAGTATCATATAAAAGTAAAAATAGTTCCAGACTTGCAGTATTATAATGCCTTGCTTTCTGCTGCATTAGAAATACTGCTCCAGCAGTGAGTCATAAGGTTAAAGCAATGAATATGTCATTCATTGTTTGTGGGTCAGGTGAGGTGAGCTGTCCTGTACTGTACTGTCTAGCTGGCTTGGGTGTGGCTAGATAATTGCAAGGACAGATTCTTTGGATGCTTTAGACTTACACAGAGCGCATTTACTCGGAAGTTTAGAGACATGGGAGAACGAACCTGCTCGGAGTACTTCTGGATTATACTGAGGATCGTCCTGGTTATAGTCAATTGCTTTGTAGTGGTAAGTGAATAGTGTTCTTATCGGTAAATAGATCTACACTCTAAAGAAGATAATACTATACATACTCCAATGCACATCATGTTGTGTTATTGTGTATCACTGTCACTGTATGTAGATGATACAATCAACCATAATCTAATAAGACCAAACTAATCTGCTTTGCATTGCTTGCAAGCCAGACCCTACCCACTTATAGTCGCTGGTGTAGAGGACAGCATATACAGTCTACTGAGGCATGCATTAAATGTAATATTATGTTTGCTGACATTGATTATCAGTATCAAATTATCAATTGAATTATTGTACATCAACTTCTGCTTATATGAGCATTCTATTTACACTGTATATGTAATGTGAGCATACACACACACTCACACAAATGAAATCATGTGTCACTTGTGTCTATTGAAAACATTTGCTAGAGCTGATTTTTCATTCTTGCCATTAGGTTTCTGGTATTGTTCTATTGGGCATTGGTATCTCTTCAAAGGTAAGAAAAGAGATGATTCTCACATGCAATATATTAATTATTCATAAACAGTTCATATGGCATGACCTGCTCATGCTCAAATTTCTTCCTTTGTTTTGATATTAGATTCATAAAGATGAATACATTGTTGTCACTGACAATGAGCAAGTCTATGCTCAAGTACCATGGCTGATGATATTTACTGGTATATTCATCATATTTCATGGAATGCTTGGAGTCGTTGGTGCAATACTTGCTTATACTGTCTGTGGACGCATACTATTAGGATTAGTAAGATTAAAATGAGAGAATTAAATAAGTTTATTTTTTGATTTTGTAGTATGGGTTTGTGCTTGCTTTGTTAGTTATCATTGAATTATCCACTGGTATTGCTGCTGCAGTTGAGAAAGGAAAAGTAAATTGTACTATCAAACTGTACTATAGCTAATCCTTTTAATTCTTTCTTTAAGCATTATTTTTTTACATTACTATTTCTATTACTATTACTATTATCATCATCATCATTATTATTAATTCATCATTATAGCTCAAGAAAGATATTGAAACCAGCATCACCAACACTTTCCTAAAGTACAATGACACTGATACTAGCTACAGAGACACATGGAACACTATACAGGAAACTGTATGTACATCAGTCATCATGCATTAGCTAATGAGTGCTTGTGTTTTATAGCTCCAATGCTGTGGAACATACAACTATACAGCATATGAGAATCTTCTAAACATGGATCCTCCTACGTCTTGCTGCATAGACCAAAATAATTGCGATACTTTCGACAGCTCTGGAGAAGATTTATTCAAAGAGGTGAGCTTGTGAATCTATATGCATGCAGTAGAGTATCACTTTTAATGCATAGGGTTGTACAGAGAAAATTAAAGAGAATATCAATAGTGTAATATTAGGAGCTATTGCTGGTGTAGCATTAACATTTGCTATTCTTCAGGTATGCAGTACTAAGCTGATATTCTAATGCAAATTTCTTTTTATGTTATAACTGAATTATATTGATATGTAAATGAATGCTTCTCTCTATTTTACATTGCAGATCATTGGTGTAGTTGTTTCATGTTTTGTTGCTGCTTGTCGCCCGCACACAAGAACCAGTTATGAAGCTATAAAAACAGTATAATATATCTAAACTTTATATTTTTAAAGCATCTACATACATGTATATGAGTGTCTATTATGCTAAATTTTATTTCTAATAATAATTTTGTTACATAAATCTAAGGGGTGTGGTAATACTTTTGTCTCCGCCTATTTAAACTAAAAATATAGTAAGGTTGGTCATGCGTCTGTGATGATGTCACTTCCTCTACCTACTCTCCCTTCATAAAAATGGAGGATTCTCTTTCTTTTCACTTTAGCAGCAGTTATCTCACTAAATGTACCTGCAATTGACTCAGAAACGTCAAATGCATCCAGTTAAAAGGCTAATAAACATGATATCCGTTTCTCTTTTTAATACAGTAAAATGTTTTTGAGTTGTAACTGGTCTCAGACTTCTTCACCTATCACATTTTATAGATAACTAGAAATCTACGTACACTTAGAAAACAAACAATTAGAGCAAGAATAAGATTTGCACTTATTTCAAAGATGCAATATCTTTGCCTTTGCTGGAAAAGTGTGGGGTAGCTATCTGAGATAGAGGACAAGCTTCTGCTACCTGTAGCTGACTGTGCAGCAGGCATCCTGTTTATTAGTTCTTTAACTAGATGCATTGAAGTTTTTGAGTCAATTGCAGCTATTATTAGTGAGATAACTGCTGCTAAAGTGAAAAGAGAGAGAATCCTCCATTTTTATGAAGGGAGAGTAGGTAGAGGAAGTGACATCATCACATGACGCAGACCAACCTCCTCTGAGTAAAAATGGTTCTTGAAATGGACAGGGAAAGAGATAAAAATAACAGACACAGTTACACTGCTCCGTGGGTTGTATATAAAGTTTCAAATCACACAAGGTATATATTATTATCATTTTCATATATAATTAGCTATTTTTGGGTAAATGATTTAAGCATTAAATTTTAATTTTTTTGTTAAAACACTAGCTATTTTTAATGCGAAAATATGCAAACAGCAAAAGTACTGAATAAAGTGCCATTGGGGAATGGGGACTCTGTCAACTATGAATATAAATTTGTGCTACTGCATGATATCTCAGTGGCATGATAGTGGCATAAGTTGCATGTGTCTTTTGCAGAATTGAGAATTCTCTGACTACATAAAAACAATGTAGTACTGTGGTTTTCATTAGGAAATTGCTGCAAGTATTTTAAAATTACTGTACGGCTATTAAATAAAAGAACTTTTTATGTTACAAATCATGTTATTATATTTTTGCTGTTCTGTATTGCTGTAATATCTTACCATACATAACAAGAATATTTCAGGTGTTAATGTTTCACTATTAACCATAATTTTAGCACATTTTTTCAACAGCAACAATTTCCCAATTTGTGGTATATACAATGTAATTTATAAATATTTCTTACAAAATAAACTTACTTGCAAATTAAATTTTTGCAGTTTGGCAGCTATTGTACTGGGGTCAGGCATGAATTTTATTAGTTGCAAATTAAATTTTTTGCATTTTTGTACATTCGCAAATTATAAAAAAGTTCTCCATACTGTACAATATATTCACTTGTGCAATTACTTATCTGTCGTGAGAGTGACTGCCATTAGCTAGCAGTCCAGTAGTTAATAATAAGTTTCACAGATACATGTTTTTGGATTATCTAAATCCTTCTATTTAAGTTATATTGTAGTTATTAACCAGTTTAAACCAGTCATACAAACCTGTTTAAGCTGTTAATATCAGTTGATGTGATGTTGTTAGAGTGTCCAACTTTATGTCTCTTGTAATAAAAACCCGAGTCAACCTGTTTGACGTGAGGCAGTTGTTATAAGTCTTCTCTTGATAATAACAGTTACCATTAATAGTATCAATAACTCATTGTATCACCATTTATCATACGGTAGCATTATATGTACAATGATTAGCTATTATGGGATTCACTGTGTTTCAGTGAATTATTTGTGTTAGTTTTATTATTTCTCTGCAGATTAAAATTCATAGTTTTAACATCATTTGATTGGAATGAAACTGATCCTAATATACTGGGAGCATCTAGTATTGATACTACCTGTACTATATGGGGACTAGAGGTTAGTACTTTATTGTATGTACTAAACTATTAAACACTAATGGTATGGAAGCTATGGCAGTGGTAATGATCCAATTAGTACTAACAGAAGTAGCTACTGTAGACTGTAATGATACCTTCGTATTAAAGTGCCATACAGCTTTATATTCCTATGCCAGTTAGTGTCTAGATTTTCCAAAAAAATTATTGAAATTATTTTACCAATTGTATGTGATATTTTCACTCATTTTAAAAATAAAATTAAAAGGGAAATATTCATAGGTATGAAATTTATTGTCACACACTGTTTCAAATTGTTACTTAGTACACACAACACAAGTAATAGCTCTATCATTAACATAAGGTGGACAAGGTAGACCATTACAAGTTGATGCTGTGAAGTAGAACAGAGCACCATCAGTATCAGCCTTACTGCCATCAATAGATTCAGGATTTTCGTCAACACACTCATAGACTTTGCTATTTTTGCTACCATCAACTTGAGTCATCAGATATCCTTTATATTCTATAGTCCATGATGAAGGACAGCTGGTTCTAGCAGGAATCATCAGTTTAACACTCTTAGTAGATGTATAACATACTGCACAAGGAGCATTGTGATCATGGTTTCCTGGAAATAGTCTATTATCAACTTCATATTCAGTACCATACATGTAAGATTGACCACTAGAAGGTACAGTTGTACTCAAATATTGAGGGACCTTTGGTAAACAGACATAGTTAGCTCCTCCTCCTGTTTGGCTATTATGATTACCTCCAGTTATTCCCTCATACAGTAGTTCAGCTCCAGTAGGACAGGACTTCCTTCCCCAACGAGTGTACACTACTCCACTTTTAGGACCAGCTTGTCCTACAGGTCCAGTTTCACCTTTCTCTCCCTTATCTCCTCTCTCTCCTTTCACTCCATCTCTTCCTGGTACTCCATCACGACCATCTCTACCACGTAGCACCTCAACATAGGTTTGTTTGTTGTTGCAGGACAGTCCAGTGTTGGTGTTATTCTTTAATGGTATAGTTGTAGTTAGTGTCAGTATTGAGAGCAACACTGAACACACAACTAGTGACCTCATTGGAAGAGAAAGAGACTAAGAGAGAGAGAGAGACTGAGAGAAAAATATAAGAGATTGATACACTGCTGGTCTTTATATACTGATCCTCCTATTATAAGTTATATTGTAGTTAACAACCAGTTTAAACTAGTCGTACAAACCTGTTTAACCTGTTAATATCAGTTGATGTGATGTTGTTAGAGTGTCCGACTTTATGTCTCTTGTAATAAAAACCTGAGTCAACCTGTTTGACGTGAGGCAGTTGTTATAAGTCTTCTCTTGATAATAACAGTTACCATTAATAGTATCAATAACTCATTGTATCACCATTTATCATACTGTAGCATTGTATGTACAATGATTAGCTATTATGGGATTCACTGTAGATTGTTGTGTTAATTATTGTGGAAATATTTTTGTTATTTTTTCTAGTTTCTACAGATTAATGCTTGATAGTTTAACATCGTTTGATTGGAATGAAACTCATCCTATATATACTGGGAGCATCTAGTATTGCTACTACCTGAGTGTGTGAGAGGTTAATGTATTAAATTAATGATTTTATGTACATAACTGAGTGGTTATCGATTGTATACTGAAATTAATTAGTTATTTCTGTGTACTTTTAAATGGAAGCTTGACCATATTTTGATATCTACTATCAAAAATAAATTCACCAATGCAATTATTATCATTTTGTTACTAAAATATCTTAAGTACATGTATAAAATCTCACTATTCCAAATTATTAATTGTTACTTAGTACACACAACACAAGTAATAGCTCTATTGTTAACATAAGGTGGACAAGGTAGACCAGTACAGGTTGATCCTGTGAAGTAGAAATGGGCACCAATATTATCTGCCACAGCACTGCCATTTACAGATTCAGGATTTTCATCAACACACTCATAGACTTTGTTATTGTTGCCCTTATTCCCTTGAGTCATCAGATATCCTTTATATTCTATAGTCCATGATGAAGGACAGCTGGTTCTAGCAGGAATCATCAGTTTAACACTCTTAGTAGATGTATAACATACTGCACAAGGAACATTGTGATCTTCTATCTAAGA